CTCATGGTAGACTCGATACATGTTTTTGAATTCTTGAACTAGCTGGAGTGCCCTGGGCGCGTTTCTTTTTTTCTCTTCACTCCTCAATTTCTTCCTCTACCAAATGAGGATCAACTCTAAGATCTTCCTTAACTTTGTCCTCCTTCATTCCTAGTACTTTGTATTCTTTCAGGCCTTCATCACTGCTCACTTTTGCAGATCTCCTAGCGGGGACCCTGGCTTTCTGCCTTGCCCATCCCACACTGCTGTCTGAGCTCTAACATCTTAATCTATGTTACTCCTTTCCTGAAACCTTTCAAACACCAGCCTCTGTGGGTCAAAAGTCCAACTCCTGAAACTGCCACAAAAGGCCCTACACGTGCCAGCCTCTGCAGTCCTCTCTTCTGTCCAGTGACTTACCTCACATGGCACCCTCGCCCTTGAACCATCTTGAACAACTTAGAGTTCTCCAGATGTCTCTATTGACCATTATTGTTCTATAAAATGAGGATATTTACAAGACTGTCATGAAAAGCAAGTAAGAAATGTGGAAACAAATTCTAAATGATCTATTTAGATAACTAATTATCTAATAACATCGCAAATATTAAGACTGATGGATCCTGAGTGTGTAAGTCAGCTTAGGCTGCTATAACAAAATCCCACAGATCAGATGGCCTGAACAAAAGACATTATTTCCCACAGTTCTGCATGGTGGAAAGTCCAAGATCAAGGTACTGGCAGGTTTGATGTCTGGTGAGAACTCACTTCCAGGCTTGTGTACAGCCATCGTTATGCAGTGCGCTCACATAGCAGAGAGGGAGGGCGTGCACGTGAGCCAGCATGCATGTCTTCTGGTGTTTCTTATAATCCCATAATAAGGGCCCTGCCCTCAGGACTTCCTCTAAACCTAATTACCTCCACAAGGCCCCATCTCCAAATACCATCACATGGGAGGTTAGGGCTTTAACAGATGAATGTGGGGGTGGGGGAAGATATAATTCAGTCCATAACACTGAGCCAAGGGATGATGGTTGATAGCTTTTGGTATCCAGTGTCTTGCTCCAGTAGAGCACCTATGGTAACAGGAAGTTCGTGTTCAAAACAAGGCATTCTGTGTGTAAAAAACTACCTATTTTTTCAGGAGGCTGAGGCGGGAGGATCGCCTGAGCCCAAGTGTTCAAGGTTACAGTAAGGTGTGATCACACCACTGCACTCCAGCCTGGGCTACAGAGTGAGTCCCTGTCTCTAAAAAACAGCACAAAACCAACCAACCAAATAACAACAACAGCAACCAAAAAAACCTACATATTTTGAGGGAGTGGAGGGAAGGTGACAGAATAGAAGAGAAAGTTGAGGATTGTTGGGAAATTAGAAAGGAGAGACAGGCAAAAGCCAGTTCATGGAGGAGTCCTGTATTTACCAAAAAAGGTGAATTATAACTCATGACTGTAAAGGTAAACTGAGGCTGGAGCCAAACCGGGAACAAAGACACAAGGCAAATGGCAGTGAGAATGGCCTTTATTAGGACTCGCGGGCGAGGTTTCTCGGTCCAAAGGTGCGGGCTGAGGAAGTCGCGCTGAGGGAGGAGGGTAGGGGCTTTTTTATAGCCCGAGAGGTAGGGAAGCTGTTTGTACAAACAGGGCCTGGGGGGTCTTGAAACTACTAGGGCAGGAGTTGAGTAAGGGTCATGAGGAAGGGGTATTTGGAAACTGTTAACTGAAACTGCTGTTTACAAACTTGTGGAATGCAGGTGAGCTGCAGGTCATGGGGGAGTGTGGTTGCCCAGCCGGAACCTCTGACGTATGCAAGTCTGCGGGTGTGTTCAAAGAGGAAGGGAAATCTCGAACAAAGGACCTGCTACGCCGGGTGGCGCCGCCATGTCGGGTCTAGATCCCTGCCTAACAATGACTAGGATCATGAGGAAACAGATTCACTGACACACTCGCACATGATTGGCTGTTAGCTTTAAGAGCTATTTAAATTCTCCCCCTAATGATCTTACTTTTGGGAATTTATCCTAGGAAAATAATCCAAAAGATCAGGAGAGGTATGTGTCCAAATACATTTATTACATTATTTATGATGATAAAAACTGGATGTAACTCATATTGGAATAGTTAAGTAGTTACTAGCTAAAGAGTTTCTGAATGAACCAATAAATGCTTGTTGAGTATAACGTGACAATGAGAACAGTGAAGTCCAGGTTCACAGAATGGAAAAATCTATGAAGTAAAATAAACAAAATATTAAATTATAGCTATATAACACTACAACTATATAAATACAGTGAAAAAACAGACAATACTAGAAGTAAATATAGATTAAAATGACAACAGACTATTTGTTAGTGTGGCGTAATCATGTGCCACTAAGATACTACGCTTAAAAAGACACTGCCTTTTTAAAAATGAAAAAACAACCAGTCCTGCACAAGGTAATCTGGCTGGTCTGTCTGCAGCACAGCCTCACAAAGTAGCCTTTGTTTGTCCCAGCCTGAATCAACACTTGGCTTTCAGTAACACAAGTGAATTGACGAAATATTTGGGGTCAATATAGTGGAAAGAAGTATTTGTTTTATAATGAAGCCCAGAACAATGGTCACTGGGGAAGCAGGGTGAAAAAGGAAGAGGATTTGAACTGCTAAATGAACTACATGCTCCAGGCCAAAGCATCCATTATCGCCTACAGGCACGATGAGAAACAGAGTCCTTGTGAATAAATAAACCGAAGGGAACATAAACCATCAGATGATGCCCGAGCGGAACTGTGTTTACCCTCACTTAGAACAAATACTGAGGAGAAAGAGAAGCAGGTTATTTGGCAACAGTTATGACATTACTGAATTTATAGCTCATCTAGTCATAAGTTTCCTCAAAGGAGAGTTGTCAAATTTCAGAGCTGGATAAGGGGACCAAGGTCAAAAGGGGTAGGTGATTAGGCCAAGGTCATCCAGTCAGTAGACAGCATGGAATACAAACATTGGCTGCCGATCACACAGACTGCATGTCCAACTCCAGGACTGCCCCTTCCCAGCTACGTCTTAATCAAGCATTCCCTCAAACAGATATTAAGACAACATGTGTCTCAAACAAGTCACTCAGTCTCGCCTGCTGCCAATTTTCTCACCTGTAAAATAGTACAAGGCCGCTGCTGTGGTCCTCTGTGAATGTCCACCCAACTCACCCTTCTTCAAAACACCCGTAAGAGCCATCTGTCACCAACCCTCAGCCCATGGGCTCTGAATAGGCCCCGAGCCCATGAGCACATCATATTCTCAGGGACTTGGGTGCTGGGTCAGGAAGGGTGTGGGACCTGATGAGAGGTGCTGAGGGGTGAGATCTCGGCAATGACAGAGGATGCAGCAAGTCCTTTTCCCCACTGACTTGAGCTGCTGTGACCTCCATCTTGGCCAACACAGGCAGTCAAAGAACAGAGCCAAGAGATGGGAGATGGGGAGTGTGGGTCTCGGAGATAGCACAAAAATCCCAGAACCAAGTTATTCCTGAAGCCAGCCTTACCTTTTTGGTTGCTGAGCCAATAGATTCCTTTTTTCCTGTTGGTGTTTGTTTTACGTAAGCAAGTATGAGGGTTTTTTCCTTTCATTTTTTATTTCAAAAGCTTTTTGGGGCCGGGCACGGTGACTCGCACCTGTAATCCCAGCACTTCGGGAGGCTGAGGCAGGCGGATTGCCTGAGCTCAGGAGTTCAAGACCAGCCTGGGCAACATGGTGAAGCCCCGTCTCTACTAAAATACAAAAAAAAAAAAAAAAAAAAAAAGCCAGGTGTGGAGGCATGTGCCTGTAATCCCAGCTACTCAGGAGGCTGAGGCAGGAGAATTGCTTGAATCTGGGAGGCAGAGGTTGCAGTGAGCCAAGATCGTGCCACTGCACTCCAGCCTGGCAACAGAGCAAGACTCCATCTCAAAAAAAAAAAAAAAAAAAAAAAGCTTTTGTGGCATAAGTGTATTTTGGTTACATGGATGAATTATATAGTGATGAATTCTGGAATTTTACTGAGTTCTTTTTTACTTAGGATAGTTGGATTTCCTGCCTGGTGTGGTGGCTCATGCCTGTAATCCCAGCACTCTGGGAGGCTGAGGTGAGCGGATCACCTGAGGTCAGGAGTTCAAGACCAGCCTGGCCAACATGGTGAAGCCCTGTCTCTACAAAAAATACAAAAATTGTCTGGGTGTGGTGGTGTATGCCTGTAATCCTAGCTACTTGGGAGGCTGAGGCAGGAGAATCACTTGAACCTGGGAGGCGGAGGTTGCAGTGAACCGAGATCACACCATCGCACTCCAGCCTGGGTGACAGAGCGAGAGCAAGACTCCATCTCAAAAAAAAAAAAAAAAAAGATAGTTGGATTTCCTTTCACCTGCAAGCAAAAGTTTCTGAGAATCATCTCCCTTACGGAGAGAGAATACAGGTACAAGGGCCCAGCCTAACACCTGGCACAGGGTAGTTATTTAACAAATGTTGACTTCACTTTCTTCTCCGTCTTCCTTACTGGGATTCCATCTCTTTTTTCTTTGTTTCTTCTTTCTTCACCAAGTTTCCTCCTTCCTTTAGGGCTCTATCCCTACTAGTCCTCATTTCCTGGAAGCACAGAGATAAGCAGCTTTCTCCTCCTCCTTGTAAAACTCTGCCAGCTAAGACTCTGGCATAAGCCTCAGTGACCTCTACTCTAGACCTCAATATCCCTGGTGCACACTTCTTTGAAATCAGACCCCATTAATTAGAACTCCTCACACTCATACAATATTTTATCATGGACTCTCACCTCCAGATTCTCATTTGGTTTAACTTTAGCCACGTGCAGAGGCAGGGCAAGGTGTTCTTACGATCATAACCATTACTCAAATGAGGAATCAAATGTTCAGGAACGTGTCATTACTTGAACACAGTTACAGAGTGAGTAAGTCTGGGAACTGGGACACAAACACAGGTCCCAGGGCCAAACTCATTGCCCTCCCCGTTCTCCAGCCTGGTGCTGTTTCCTTCATTTAGAGTGAACACTCACATGCAGCGGATCCTGTGGGGCTCCACCTCCAATCCCTCTTCAGGGCCGACGCCCCCCCTCCAGATGCTGGGCACACTGCCTGCTGATTCTCACAGCTGCACCCCTCTCTGGAACTGTGGTCAGTGGCGGGGGCTACCCCATCTGAAGTTATGCTCCCTCCTAAGGGGCAGCCCAGGGCCAGTGACTGACCTCCTTGCTTCAATTTAGGACAAGTGAAGGGCCAACACTGCTCCAGAGCTCCCTGCAGGATCCTGAAAGCTGCCAGGTTTGGGACGCCTGGAGTGAGAAGCAGCTCCACGAGCGAGCGCAGTTGCTGTGCAGGCTGCTCTTCCACTTTGGCCACAGAATCCAGCAGATGTGAAGGTATGTAAAGCCTCTATGGCAGGTAGGAATGCTGTGAGTGGAGGCTTTGGGGTGAGAAAGGCCTCAATAACAACCAAATCACAAGTCAGCTTCTCCCTCTGCCCATTCCCACCTTCCTTCCTTCCTTCTTTTTTTTTTTTTTTTTTTTTTTGAGACAAAGTCTCACTCTTGTCACCCAGGCTGGAGTGCAGTGGTGTGAAATGGGCTCACTGCAACCTCCACCTCCCAGGTTCAAGCACTTCTTCTGCCTCAGCCTCCCATATAGCTGGGACTACAGGCACCTGCCACCACACCCGGCTAATTTTTGTATTTTTAGTAGAGATGGGGTTTTACTATGTTGGCCAGGCTGGTCTCAAACTCCTGACCTCAGGAGATCCGCCCACCTCAGCCTCCCAGAGTGCTGGGATTATAGGCATGAGCTACCACACCCGACCCTTCCTTCCTCCTTTAGAGGCATATTTCCTGAAGCACTTGAGTAAACTTTCTGCATTCTACTCTCCAGCTTAGAGTCTGTTTGCAGGGATTCCTGTCTAAGGCAGTTGGTAAGAGAAGCGATCCTAGGAAGCACACTCTAAAATGGGATTTTTAGGGATGAACTACTTGTTGGCCAGCTGGCAGTGAAGATTCCAGCACTTGTGGTGGGTGGGGTATTGGCAATGTCCCGCTGTCACTGGCAGTGAATTGGGATGGGACACTGGTGACAGGGGACATGCTCCTGTCTCCTCGTATACCTCTGGCACTAGAGAAGAATGTTACCTAAAAAGACAGTGCAATTGAGGGCTGTTGCAGGGTACCAATGATTGGATGGAGAGAGAAAAAAACAGACTCAGGATAAGTGGCAGACATGCCATCCTGTTTTGCTGGGGTGAATTGTAGCAGATATGTCCTGGGGCTGGAGCTGCCAGTGGCAGTGGCTGCCTCCTGGTGATGCTGATTTCTCTCCCTAATACAGTCATGGTCCCAAGGGGACCAGAGAGGGCAATAGCTCTCTTGGCAATTCAGGTCTGCATTATGGCTTTGGTTATTGTTCCTGGAAGCTCAACAGAGATGGATTTCTTCAACCCTTTCAATGATTCTGCAACCCACTGCTGATCATTCTGAAGTCAAATCTTCTGATTTCAAAACCTACATTCTGTCCTCAACACCATGTGACGAGTAGGAGACTTGGGATTCCACTAACCAAAATGAGCTAAATCAAGGAAAGGAAAAAGTATTGCAGTCGCAGGGATAAATGAGTTCAGTTTTAGACATAGGAGCTTGATATTACTAGTAAGACAGCCTGAGACCATCCAGCAGAAATGTGACGGGGATTGGCTCTTATTAGCCTGGGGCTGGGAATGTAGATTTGGAGTTCTTTGCTAGAAAGCATGATCCTGGGTATGATCCCCCAGGATGAGTATACGAAGAGACCAGGACTACAGGTGAGAAGAAAGATGCAGTGGAAGAAACAAAACAAAACAGTCATTTGGGAATAAAACACTTGGGTTCAACTCTCCACTTTACCTCCTACTAGCTATGTGATGTTGGGCAAATTACTTAACCTCTCTGTGCTTGGTTTAAGAGAGAGCACTGAGCATCTTGCTCTCCTGGCTACAATCTTTGGTTCTGTTTTGGGGAGGGTAGAGGAGGCTTATTGCCTAAACTTGCTGTCCCTAGGCTTGTTGCCTCATGTTTGCAAAATGGCTTTTCACAGCCCTGGCCATTGTGTCTGCATATAACCATGTTCAAGACAGAAATAAAAGAAAGACATGGAATGGAAAAGCTGGTTCTCCTCTTACTGGGAGACAACTTGTCTCTGACAACATATCAGCAAATGTGTTCTTATATCTCATTGGCCAGGGTTGGGTTACAAGACCAGCCTTAGTTGCATGGGGGGCTGGGAGAGCAAATGTTCCATCAAGGATTCCTTTGACTGATATGGATCATGATCCATCCTGATCCATGGCACATCACTGCCCCAAATAAAAGCATGATGTGGTGGTCCACCTCAAGGTGGTGTTCCACTGGTGCTCCACCTTGGTGCTCCACCTCAGGGCACCAGTGATATAGTGCTCCACCTTTGGGGCAATGATGTGCCATGAATCATGATGGATCCAGGATCCAGGATCCATGGCACATCACTGCCCCAAATAAAAGCAGTCATGTTAGCAAGGGAGAAGGGACTGACTATTGGAGCGACAAACAACATTGTCCATCAAAACTCATGAAAATCATTCTTTAGGGAAAGGTATAAATTTTGAATGCTAGAATTCAGACACGAGGCAGGACTCATCAATAGAGGAGATGGCTTTACCAATGCTATATATTTATATAGCACTATAAAGTTTATGAAAACGTTCACAGGTTCTTATTTGACCCTCACAACAGATCTGGGAGGTAAGTCAAATTTCCATTTTGTAGATCCAGCAAGAGGGACTCAGAAATCATTAAGTGAGAGAAGGGTCAGGCCTCATCCTGGGCCAACATTCTTCCGACTGAGCCAGGTAGATCTGGGACCCCCACGAATAGGCAGCTACCTTGAGGTAAATCCCAGGCTACCTCTTCTTCCACCACTGAAAGACCTGGAACCCCAAGATTACTATTATCTGGGACATCACAATTCTGAACAGTAGTAAATTGCTAATTCAATATTGATAGTTTATAGCAAATCAAACCTTTGGTAGAGGGAGGATGGTGATACTGAAAGAGAGTTGTGGTTTAGTATATGACCATAGGCAAAGAACATGATTATTCATTTAGGAAAAAAAATCAAGAAACAGACTGAAGAGTTTGAGGAAACTCTACAACTGAATTCATACTTAGAATTGAATTTTCAAAACAAGTTCCCAGCTGGGCGCAGTGGCTCATGCCTGTAATCCCTGCACTTTGGGAGGCCGAGGCAGGTAGATCACCTGAGGTCAGGAGTTCGAGACTAGCCTGGCCAACATGGTGAAACCCCACTTCTACTAAAAATACAAAAATTAGCTTGACGTGATGGCAGGCGCTTGTAATCCCAGCTACTCAGGAGACTGAGGTAGGCTAATCGCTTGAACCTGGGAGATGGAAGTTGCAGTGAGCCAAGATTGCGCCACTGCACTCCAGACTGGGCAACAGAGCAGGACTCCATCAAAAAAAAAAAAAAAAAAAAGAAAAGAAAAAAGAAAGAACGAACGAACGAACAAACAGCTTCCCATGGATTATAAGCAATGCAAAATGCTAAAGAAACATCCATAGGGAAGAAAGCCAGAACCAGACCATTGATTTGGTTAACACAGCTATTCTATTGGCAGGCCCAGATTACAAGGGATTAGAGTGAGCGAGGACTGCCCTTATCTCTTGTTGGAGAATCATTTAGGAATCACCCAAAAGACTAGATAAAATTGTCAGTCCTCTCCCAAATATTGGAGAAGTTGCAGGAGTGGCGGGTGAGTGGGGGTGTGAGTGTGCATATTTCTCAAGTACCTACAATGTGCAAAGCAGTACTAAATGCTGGGAGGAATAAAAGTGTGAATAAAAGTATCCATTCATTGATTTATTCAGTAACTATTCATTAACAAACATTTATTGAGATGTCTTACGTGTGCAGCACTGGGCTAGGTTCCAGGGATACTACTCAAAAAGCAGTCTAATTGGTGAAGGGAGGAGGGGGATGGGATTACAGTGAGAACATACAAGAATTTTAGATAAACATCTGATCAAGGCTGTAAGACAGGTGCTAACTGTTGTAAATACTAAGGGGAAAAATTCCAGCTGGATCTGGGATCCAGGAGAGGCTTCCTTCCTAAGTAAGATGGGAATTGAGCTTGGTCTTAAAGGATGGTTAGGATTTTGACAGTACAGATGAGCAGACACGGGAAGGGATCACATATTACAGTCTTTCCTGGTCTTTTATCTTAGAGGAGACAAACTGCCTATAGCAAATGTCAACAATGCACACCACTCTCCGTAGTGAGATAAAGAGCCTGGTATGCACAGAAAGCCCTGATCAGTGTGTCTCAAGCTCAAATCATTGTACTTTATCCTTTCCACTCAACAAATACCTGTTGAGCCCCTACTATGTGCTGAGCACTGCATGAGGCACTGAGGAGACAACTGTGAATGATACAGGCACAACCAAGACCTTCAAATGACTGAGGGTATGATGGAGGGAGACAGAGCAAGCATTTGTGATACATGCATCTAAAGTTATGAGAGTGGAAGAATGAGGGTTATGGAAGCACATAGTAGGGGAGCTTAGTCCAATCTGGATATTCTGTGCAATAAATCACAACAGGCTGGGCATGGTGGCTCACGCCTGTAATTCCAGCACTTTGGGAGGCTGAGGCTGGTGGATCATGAGATCAAGAGATTGAGACCATCCTGGCCAATACGGTGAAACCCCGTCTCTACTAAAAATACAAAAATTAACTAGGTATGGTGGCAAACACCTGTAGTCCCAGCTACTTGGGAGGCTGAGGAGGAAGAATCACTTGAACCCGGGAAGCGGAGGTTGCAGTGACCCAAGATTGCACCACTGCACTCCAGCCTGGTGACAGAGAGAGATTCCGTCTCAAAAAAAAAAAAAAAGTAAAATAAATTAATTAATCACAATAATAAACACTTATTTTTTAACAAAAAGTCATAATAATAAGCACTTATTTTTCTCATTTATCAGCCCATGATCTTCTGGGGAGCTCCACTTCAGGTCGCAGGTTGGCTAAACTTGATTCAAGGTTCATATTAGGGCCGGATCCCCTCCACATGTCTTCACATTTTCTCTGGACCAGCAGCTATTCAGTTCTCTCTCTCTCTCTCTCTCTCTCTCTGTGTGTGTGTTCTCTCTCTGTGTGTGTGTGTGTGTGTGTGTGCACGCGCACGCACGCGCATATGTGTGCTTTCCACAGGACCACAAGAGGCCAAGCCAAACTTCTCAAATACATTTAAGGCCTTTGCTTGTGGCCCATTTTACAACACTCCATTGGCCAAAGTAAGTCATGAGCTAAGTCCAACATCAAGTAGGTGGAGACATATGCTCCACCCTCTGTCCTGTACAGCAAGGACACAAATCAGAGGGGCAGGAAATAACTAGGAACAATATCCTATCTACCACATCATTCCCGGTCTCTACAAACCCCTCTTAATTGTCACCCA